TTTTTTTTTCACTTTTATTTTCAATTTTCATTGGTTTCAATCATCATCCGAGTGTGTGGACATTGTTTTTTGTCCCAAATATTTTTTTAAAATGAATTCTTATCAGTTTTCTTGCTGGTGCCATTCATAGAATTCGTTCCATTCAGTACTGTTTCTCATTCTCGATCATAGCAACTACTTTAAAGCACATGACAACGTCAAAATACGTAAATTTTCATTGAATTCAAGTGGAACAAAACATTTGGAAATTGTGTTCAACAAGTTTAACACAGAACACATGGTGTGAGAACAAATTGTGTGAACGTAATTTAATGGCCACTTACAGCACACTTTTGTTTTTGCATCAGTTTCACTGGTAACGACAGGGTCATTAATTAAAAATAGCCAATTCCCTCCAATAACTATGGTTGTTTGAACGAACACTTGGTTACTGTGTTTTGAGTTAAATAATGCTGTTATTATTATAAGCATCCGCACGAAATTTAATCCAGCTATAGAGCGACATGTCATAAGCACGACGCTCCATGCCTGGACATGCGACAACAATTCCTTTTTTCTGGTTTTATTTATTCGCGAAGAAAGTGATATATTTATATATTGTTTATTGGTTGGAATAAAGATAGGGAAATTCGGTTTTTATACACGACATGAATTGACTGTGTGTAGTAAACAAACCGTTCACTCCTCAATATCTATTGCAGTTTATCTATGTAACACATTTATGATAAACAAAACCTTTTTATAAGCAAAAAACAGACAAACACATTATATCCACTCACCGAATACGAATGTTACCAACAAATGTACCACTGATTTATACAATTTTATACAATGTCATACTTGACGCATTGACAACATTTCATAATCTCAAATGAGATGAAGCGAAAAACATGTTTTGGTCGGCGATTGATTGTTTCAATCCAGATTTTTGGTAATTGTTGTTGAATAAATTCTATTGTAGAATTGATTGTGATTTCGACTTTGTTATTCAGTCGAGTTATTAGTTTGCCACAATGAACTATGGAACATTCCATTCAAATGCCGTGAATTTTTGGCTGATGAAGCGAAAAAACGTTGGTTGACATAAAACTCTTTTTTTTTCATTTCAGTAACTGAAAGATCACTCTATTAGACGAACATAGCAACTCAATCCATGCTCGAAAAATAGTTTACCAATCCACTTATACACTTTTTCTCTCTCCAGCCAAATCACGAGATGAATTGCAATTTAAATTTATGTGATTTATAAATTCTTCATGAAAACTGTTAATTTCTTTGTTAAACATTTTCAAAATAACCGGATACAATTTGGTATTCCATTTGTGCAAGAGAAGTGCATAAAAAATTTAATGAAAATATTTGGATGGGGGAGCGTGAAATCTTTCTGTTTTTCACTTTTGCTTTCATTCTTCGTTGTCAAGAGTTCGGTGTTGAAGTTGCAACAAGCTTGAGTTGTAAGCAAATGCATTAGCAGCGTCTTCTTTTGGATGTACGATTGTACAACAAGGATAATTTTAGTGTACAATCGATCGATTGGCAATAATTGCAATAAGCGTTAAGCAACTTCGAGCAAACGCAAGAAATTTGTAATCAACTTGTTGAAATTAAAATATTCTTCTCGATATTGACATTTTTTATGCAAAGCAATGTTCAATTGTTCAAAGTAGTAGAACACATAAAAAAATATATTGAATCAACAACTTAAATTCAATGAACAGTATTCAATTTTAAATCGACAACTGAAAATTGGCTTCAAATTAATTTTTATGATTAAAAAAATGCAAAAAAAAGTTAAACCTACTGGGTCGGAAACGGCATTATTATAATATTTCCGTTGGAAAGATTGAAAATAAAAAAAAAAGATTTGGAGATGCCGAGCATTGATCTCGGTACCTCTCACATGCTAAGCGAGCGCTCTACCATTTGAGCTACATCCCCGTTATATGAACCGGGGCCAATGGTACACTTCACACATTGACTCCATTCGTCGATCGTATGTGCGGACCAAATAGTTATGTCACACGACACTATGTGTTTTTCGTTTTTTCTTTATAGATTGGCATGAAAACCAAGTTTATCATTCTGCATTTTTCTTGGAGAGTAAGAGTCTCAAATATGAAGTTGAAAGAATAAATTTTACATATGTTTCAGAAAGTTTGATTTTCTCCAGTAAACAATTTACCATTCATAATGAATTCTTGGTGTCAATCTGAACTACATTCTCACCTATCGGCAAAAGTAAATAAAATCGACAGTAAACTAATGCAATGTGACTTTAACAAATGTTGTTACTTGTTGTCTGTTGTCATTCAAAATGCAAAAAGTTGATGAAACACAACGAAACACCGATTTCGTAAAAAAAAAGAACAAAGTCAGCCAGATATTTGATCATGAATTCAAAAAATGCAAACTACCATGCAGAAATTTATTATTCATTTGAAATAAATTGAGCGTTGAATTTTTAAAATGCTGATGTGAGGAACATTAGTATTTTTTCTGAGACATTCAAAATTATACACAAATTTAAAAAAAATGTAAAAAATTTGCCATCACAAACCTAAACAACTCATGTCAAATTTGATGTGTTTTTAAACGAAGCAACCATTTTATTTAAGCCTAAAAATATGTGATTTGAAATCGGTTCGAATTCATTTGCATGCGCGTTTGTG